ATCTAGTCTCAAGATACTATCAAGATTACTATCGGGATGGTAATGATTCATAGATACTGGTGCTATAAGGAGATGAATTGATAATCTAATAGGCAGCTCCGACAATTCAGCTGGGAAATTGTGAATTATGCTAACCAAGAGATTCCAAAGAGCTTTGAAAACTTTTTACATAGAGCAGGACCATTGACCAGATCCAATGACCTGTTTCAGGCCCCTCTATCTCAGAGATGATTCTACTTACTCTCATGTGAGCCCACTGGACTGTTATTGTGTAAGCCCACAAGTCCATGATCCTAGGAGTTGCCGAAGATGAGATAGATGGGCGGAGGCTCTGGAAACTTTTTGGGATATCCTCATGACTCATCTCGACACTGGCACCTATCTTCTGACTCCTCCAGCTCTGCCTTCCACCCTACAAAGTGGGTGGGACACAGCCCACCCACCTGTCTGCATGGCACATGGATGTAGTATCTCTCACCAGTGATGTTGGTGTTACTTGGAGATGTCAAAACCATTAGTGAGAGCCTCACCCCACAAAGCAGGAAATGATCCAATCAGTTCACAGCTGGCATGAGACACACAGATTGGCTAACGGCAGAGCGGGATCACTTTAACCACCGGAGGAAATTAATCTGGTTTGTGCCCTCACTGTAACAAATACCCACTGGTTCACTGCTTCATTTCACTTGTTTGGTTAATATTTCCCAGGTCCTAGGATGATATATGGTGATCAACCATAGTAACTCCTGAGAATTACAAACTAGTGTAAATACCTCCATGGGCAGCTAGGCTATGGAAACTACATTTTGTAAGTAGAACAAACCCTTATAACCAAAGACTAGAAGAGCCAGAGGTGCTGAAGAACTGTAGGACAAGAGGTCAGTTCTCTTCATTTATGTCCCAAAAACCTTCTGTCCTGTCTTCTGTGGCTGTGTTTTGAAACCGGTGTGTGGCCTTCTAAGTCACATCATTGCTGAAAATAGTGCTACCCCATGCTACACTGGCCAAAACCATGCTGTAACCTCCAGAATGGCATACGAGTGTTTTGCAAATGGAGCTTCTTGTGGCAAGAACTTTGGAGACTATCTCACACTTGGCAATGACCTCTGGAAAAATGATACTGGGAATCCCAGCACATGCTTCAGGCCTTCTTGGCTTTCTCTGCTTACCCTCATGTTAACTTTTAGTTTTTGCTTTGTCAGTCATGAGCTTGAGGCTTTCTCTGTGTTTACTCTTATGGTAATTTTTAGTTTCATTTTGTCAGTCATGGTTGTAGCTGAGTTTACTGGGAACAAGAGCCCCTTGGATAAGACCTTGTTAATTTTTCTAAAGTTTCTACAGGGGAATTAAGGCCTCTTTGCAGTTTATTGATAATGACTCCATGATTTTTTTTTTTTTTTTTTTTTTTTTGGGACACAGAAACTGGTTCCTCCAAGTAACCCTGACTGCCTCTGAAGTCACCCTGAGCAAGCAGGAGGAAGTCACTAAGGTTAATGATTCTTGCTTACTTAACTGTAGAGAAGTAACTACATTCCAGGAATTTAGGATATAGTTTCTTAAGAGATGGTATCGAAAACTTATGGGAACATATAAGCAAAAGATAAAGGGCATGAAAGGTCAGATATCTCTCTGGTGCCGGGACATGAATGGCTAGATAACTTTTTTCAGCTGTAACTCCCAGTTCCCTTGGAAGTAAAAGGACATGTAGAAACTGCCAGGAAGAATAGAAACTTACCAGTTAAGAATTAGGTATCAATCATTACCACTCTGGGACTGTATAAGAAAAACCCAGATCATAAAAAAAAAAAAAAAAAAAAAAAAAAAAAAAACTACTGCTCACATAAAAGTGGCATGTAGACCACTTAGAAATTATTTAGATGTACACCTGGAAAATATTATTCTAGGTATGGTATCACACCCTCTACTGACTGCAAAAACGTAAAAGCACCATACTGTTAAAGACTAACTATAGGACTTGAATATCTGCTGCCAGCCTGAGCACAATATGAGTAGGATGTGTCTGTCTAGATAGAATCATCTGGCTTGCAATATAAAATCCAGGCTTAGATATGAGGTCAGTTTATGCCTGGGTAAAAGTTAATTCATGCTTAGATATGGGGAAAAGGTTAACCAATAGTAATAATGGAGTGAAGAAGAGGAAAACAATCTAAAATGAGTAAATGCCATTGGATAAGGATTAAAGAAAAATGAATTGAAACTGCCCATGCTTGGATTCTTTAGCATAAATAAAGATGGCCTGAGTTATTCGGCACCACTTGCTTGAACGACAACTAGTGGTCAATGTCGTTATTCTCATCAACTCCACACCTTTCCAGAAACCTGCTGGCGCTGAACTCTGGCACTGTGTACAATACAGAGGGCACAACTACAGCAGGTGGACATCAAGCAGAAACAGCATGTTGAGAAGAAATAGTAGGCTCTGAGATAGTTCATTCCTGGTTTTAAATTATAGCTCTATTAGCTTTTGACTAAGTGATTTTTCACAGTTGCCTATTTGTGTCCTGTTTTATTTGAGCCATTATTGCAAAGACTAAACTGACAAGTTATTTATGTGATGAGTTTGATGTCCCCTAAGACATAATTTCTTCCTCTTTTCCATAAAACATCAGGCTTAAGATATGACTGAAGACTATAATGGCCTGGGCAAATATTTCCTTTTATTTTTCTTTCCTCCTAACAGAAAGTGGGCTTCACACACAGTGTGACAAGCCTACATGGAAATAAGAGAAGCTGACTAAGAGCCAGGATACTTTCCAAACCTGGGACAGAATCTTCCCCTCTTGTTTCCTCCAAATTTTTCAGGAGCAGACCGTGTAAGACATGAGTGGATTGTGGGAGGGTCAGTGAACTAGTGGCACTTTGATTTTCTTCAAGAAAGAGTTCATGGATTCTGGGGAATGGATCCTGTGGAACTGAGGATCAATTTGAAGCCAATTTAGAACTACTTTCCACCTGAGAGGCCACAGTGACATTGTGACTCCTTTGCTAGGTGATCTGAAGAACTGGCATTTGAAACCAAGTCCAGACACAGGCTTATAGCCTCCTGTAGCAGACACCATCCACTACCCTCAAGGCTCAGTGAGAAGGGCATGGTCTATGGAGCTGGATTGGTCTGTATTATTATGGTGCTCTGTTACCCACAGATAATGGTGACTATAGTGAGATATTTGGACCCCTAAGTTTTATTTTCATCTATAGCTTACCTTACAGAGTTATGAGGAAGACTAAGCGTGGACACAGACTAGGGCAGCATTCAATAGTGCTTGAGAGATATTGTTCCTGTCTTTATACATCTACTATATTGAGGAAAGGAAAAGGGGCTGGTGTTCAAGGATAATTCAATCATGAAAGGCACTAACTGGTAGTGATAAAGATCATGCTAGCAGACTTGCTACATTTGAATTCTGGCTTGCCCACTTATCATATTGGATGCTTCATGCTTCATAACCCCCTTTGTCCTCAGGTCTCTGTTGCATGCATCTGTCTCATAAACTTTTTGGCACATAGAAACATTCAAATAAATGACAGAGTTTATCATTGTCATTTTGCTGGAATTCCTCCAATCCTAGGAATTTATTCCTGGAATCTATTCCTGAAAGCAAGGCCTAGGAAGATAAGTTGAAGGAAAGGCATGGGAACAGGAGAAGCTGAGATGTGCTAATGCATACCTAAACCCTGGGCTTTGAGATCATACAGCACTCATCCAAATTACCTTAGAATAATCTATGGTTCATGGAATAAATATGTTTCTGATGAGCTTCCTGGTATACTGAGCCAGGGAACACCATTGCAAAGTTTTTCTATGACAACCCAGACCAGAAGAAACCACCACCAAAGTTCCCAAAAGGAATGTAAATGTCAGGTTGGAAGGACATAGAGTAGCTTTTGGTGCAGTGTATGAATAACGAGAGTCTCTACTGAATGGCCCTACCATTAGGATGAGCTTGCACATGGTTTTTAGGAAAAGAAAGAGAAGTATTTCATGAAGAAGGTGGTGGTCATTTATCTCATGTTTAGGAAAATTCAATGTCAAGTAGAGACATGCTCTGCCTCTGACTGAACAGCTAGACATACTGGGGAGGAATCTCACCAATGCAACACCAGCCCTTGGCCTCGTGATCTCAGGTGCTTCATTTAAATGGCATCAAATTGCTTCATTGCCACCCTATAAAAAGTCTCAACAAAAGCCAGTTCCTCAGAGCCTTGGCTTCTTTCAGTGTCGCTCCTGCCAGGAAGGAAGGTAAGGCTTATTACCTGAGATAGGGACTTGGCAAGAAATAAGAGTCACAGTGGAGCTGGGGTGGAGAACTATGGGATAAAGAATGAGCCAGGACTAGACACTGAAGACATCTATGAAGAAGGATGATTCCATTGGTGGTAGGAAGTTGAGACTCAGGCTAGAGAAGGGACAGAGTACTTCTATGTAGGTAGGGATTCCAGAGAACTGGGTTCCTCTGGGTATATTTGTGCCATTTCTTCTGAGTTCTACTAAACTAACAGTGAACGCAAGCACTCCAAGGACAAATGGTAGTGACTTACGTATTGAGCATCAGTTTTGCTCTGCCAGGTTCAATTTAAGAGTCAGGTTAGTTCAGATACATGCATCTGCCCTCCCCGAGGACTTCTTGGATTAGAAGAAAGAAGAAGGAATACCACCATGAAGGGAGAGAGGGGAAATGTAAAATTTGGTAGAAATGTAGTTGTTGTTTTGAGCCCTCTATTTCCTAGTGTGGAAACAGTCTCAGGGTAAATAGTGACTAGTCAGAAGTCACATAGCAGTTAAAGGTGCAAAAAGTGAGCCTAGAATCCTTTATTCTGCATCCACCTTACTGTTGGATGGACAGCCCTGAGTGCTAACCTCTTCAAAGAGATCTTTTTGAGACCATCCTCCCGGGTGAATGCACCAAAAAATTTTCTGGAAATTTTTTTAAGTCTTAAAGTTTTGAATCTTTTCTTTTCAGAATTTTCAGAACAGCAGAATGTGTGACCAACAGAAGCAGCTGCAGTTTCTTCCATCGTGTGTGAAGGGTTCGGGGCTTGGAGCTGGGAAAGGTAGCAATGGTGCCTTGGGGAAAGGCCAGGTTTCTGGCCAGGTTTCTGGCCAGGTTTCAGGTCAGGTTTCAGGCCAGGTTTCAGGCCAAGTTTCAGGCCCAGTCCAAACTGTTTATGCTCCGGGACCTGCTCTTTGCCAGCCTCAAACCATCGTGAGATACTCAGCTCCGGTTCTTGCTCCAGCTTACGTGAAGTATCAAGTTCCATGCCAGACCAAGACCTACGTGAAATGTCCAGCTCCCTGCCAGACATATGTGAAATGCCCAGCTCCGTGCCAGACAACCTATGTGAAGTGTCCAGCCCCATGCCAGCAGACCTGTGTCAAATGTCCAGCACCCTGCCAGGCTCAGACATATTATGTCCAGTATGCAGCTCCTACCCAGACCTACTACACTCAGGCTTCTTCAAGTGGTTCCGGTTCTCAGGGTGGTGTCCCTGATCCATGCTCTGCTCCCTGTTCCATGAGCTACTGTTGTTTGGCTCCCCGGACCTTTGGGGTGAGTCCTTTGAGACGCTGGGTCCAGCGGCCCCAAGGATGGAACACTGGATCTTCTAGCTGCTGTGAGGATTCTGGGTGCTGTGGCTCTGGAGGTTGCGGATCTGGAGGTTGTGGCTCTGGAGGTTGTGGAGGTTGTGGCTCTGGAGGCTGTGGAGGCTGCGGCTGTGGCTCTGGGTGCTGCTGTTTGGGAATTATTCCCATGAGGTCACGAGGTCCTGCATGCTGTGACAGTGGGGATGACTGCTGCTGTTAAATACAAAAAGTCAGTCCTGCTTCCAAAATTTACCCCCTGCTGTATCTTTTGAACTCACCCATCCAGCCTCCCTTACTTTGCCCCTTTACCAAGGCATCCTGCCAGAGTTAGCATAACCCCGAAACTGTGGCATGAATAAAGCTCCAATTGCAAACACAGTGGCTCCTGTTGACTTCTTTGCTCAGTCAGTGTTCATGTTTCTCTTTAGAGACCCCTGTGTTCCTCTTCTTGCTCCTGATTTTCAGCTACTAGATGAGAGCTCTAAAAAATCAACACAAGTTGATTAAGCTGTTGAATTCTCAGTGGGGATTCACACACATTCTAGAATGCTGTGAATAGCTTCCTTGGAATGAGTCTATAGACTCTGGGTTTGAGGTCTGCTTTTTTCTTTCTTCTGGTTAATTTGCATACGATTTGGTCACAGGCCCTCAATGGGGTGTGGCTTTGGTAGTAGTTGTTGTTATGAAACTTTTGAGTTTCTCTTCAGATGCTAGAGAGCATCTGGAGCATCATAGGATGGTACTGCTACCGTGAAAGTGGCACGATACTGGTGGGCTTTGTGCATTAACATTTTCTCATTTATTAGGTGTTTCTTCTTGATGGCATTGGGTATAGGCTTGAAGCTGTAAGCAAGGACTCCCCTGAAGTGAGTAGACCATGTTCAGGCAGCCCTGACAGTAAGAAAGATCTCCAAAATGAAGAACTTTTTGTGACAAGCATCCTAGTTCGGAGGCCAGGTATTAGCACTCAGTTACAGATGATTTTTGAATGACTTTTATGTCCAAAAATTCTAACATGTATGCATGAAAAATACACAAATAGTTCCGGGAGAGATAGCACAGTTGGTAAAATGTTTCTTATACAAAAAGAGGCCAATCCCCAGAACTCACATAAAAACAGTATGGCATTTTGGCATGACTGCTGCATGGTAATCTAGTAATGGAGAGGTCAAACATCTTAGTCTACTCAGTGAATCCCAGGCCAGTAAGTGAGAGACCCTTTCCAAACAACAATAAATAAACAAACCCAAGAAACAGACAAACTATAACAGCAACCAAAGTTGATGTCACTCCTGAGGGACATGTGAGGCTGAATTCTGGCTTCCAACGCTATCCACAAGCATACTTGTTCACCTGTGCATGCAAATACTGACAAGCACTTATATAACACACCAAGGGTAACTTCTATTCGTAAGAACCATGAACCGCACAGACCTGGCATATATATTTGGATATATATATATATATATATATATATATATATATATATAGTTATATATATAGTTATATATATAGTGTGTGTGTGTGTGTGTGTGTGTGTGTGTGTGTATGGGATATAATTAGGAAGTTATTTAGGTATCTTTAGTGCCTAGTTGCCTTTGAATGCTTAAAAACCTGAAGCTTCTTAAACTGTATGGAATCTCTCCATATAGTACCACTAAGCTTGCATCTTGGTCACTGGATGCTCCTCTCAGAGCCAGGAATAGCCTTGCACAGGGCATTGTTTTCTTCGTGCACCATCAAGTGGCACCTGCAGCACAGGAAGATGGAGTGCTTCTTACCCTGCAACTAAGCATGTCGGTTGTTTAACAGTTACGTAACTAGCATCAGCGATACTTCGAGTATTTTCCTTTTTCTAACTATTCTTTAATTTAAATGTATGTATGTGTGCCTGGGTGAGTTTACATACAATATGTGTGTATTGTACCCACAGAAGCCAAAAGAAGGGATTGGATCTCCTGGAACTGGAATTACAAACAGTTATGAGTCACTATGAGGGTACAAGAAACTGAACCCAGGTCCTCTGCAAACCCCTCTTGAGCCATCTCTCAAAGCCCTCTTTTCCCTTTCTTTATAGATAACAGTATCATTTTCTATATGACTTGCTATCTTAAAAAATATCTCTGGAACTGGAGTTACGGCTAGTTGTAAGCTGCTATTATGTTGTTGCTGGGAACCAAATCTGGATCCTCTGCAAGAACAGCAAGTGCTTTTAACCACTGAGTCATATCTCTGGCACCCTCTTTTCTGGTCGTTAGGCTTTACTCATATTTACACTACTACCTATCAGTCTGTTCACCTATCTATCCATCTATCTATACATTACAGGCTATGATCCATATATGAGAAATAATTTATAGCTTTTTCTGAATTTCGCTCACCTCATTTAATATTATGTTTTCCAGATCCATTGTCCCTTAAAATTCCACGGTTATACTGTCTGAATATAGTAAATGCTAATTTTTTTCTTAGGATAGTGCATCTAATTGTATAGTGTTACTGTTGTCTTCTAATATTCCATTGTGTATCCAGTCAAGTTATCTAGCTAGGTCCTTGCTATTAGCAAGTTTTCCGTATACAGTTCCGACAGGCTGGCCTTGAACTTAAGATGACTGGCATTTCTCCAGCCCCTGTTCCTTGAGTTCCGACATCACAAGGATGAGCCACCATATGGGCTCCTATATCCCCCTTTAGGATCTCTTTTTTCTCTCCCACCTCCTTTGTTAAATTCTCTAAGATTTTCCCAAGTTTTACACTGAAATGCAGCATACTTTCAGAAAAGTACATGGATTATATGCATTTTCCTTGAGCCACAGAAGTTATTTTCAGTTTGAGAGTAAAGTCACCAAGCCACATGAAGACACAAGAAGGAGTTGGACACAAATACTTTCCACAACCCACACCTTCGGGAAAGCCCTGCTGTGTGTTAGCTGGACAAAAGCATGAATGTGATTTGAAGTCCTTGTCATGTAGCAAAATGTGAGAGAAGGTTTTCCTTGTAAAATTCTGAAGATGCACCATACAACACTACAATGGTTACTTCCCAGTCCCTTCCAATTTCTTGTGTATCACTGAATACATCTCCTTGGGCCTAAGTTACTTTTTTTTTTGTAAAATGAGTGATTTCTGGGGAGACAGTTACTCGGGGCCCTTAGCAGCTTAAATAGACTGGATTTTAAGTCTCTGAATCTTCCTCAGAGATCACAGAAACTATCTTCCCAAGACAGTGGAAACAGGACAGAGGTTTCATTGGTAACTACAAGTATCATTGAGAGGAGAAGGAGTAGTAGAGCCAGTGCTTGGCAAGAAGGGGGATCTGGACCAGGTCATCAGACAGAGATTGGCCGACTATCTCACCATCAGATGTCATTCCTGCATCTCCACCCAGCTGATGGCAACTCATGACCGGATTTGCTCATCTGCTGGGCGAGACAGATGGGTGTTAAAGTAGGCTGTGGCACAGGGGGAAAGAGTGGGTGGAATAGAATGTGTGGCGGCACCAAGGGCCAAGAAGGGCAGGTAGTGAGTAAATGTGACCAGCCTCGTGTCCTACACACGTGGATCTGCAGTTGGCCTGCCCACCTTACATTACTAGCCTGAGCACTCTGAAGTAAGAACTAGGCCTTGTTTGCTTGAAGTCACCAAACATGCACACTCCACAACACCCAATATATTCTTGTCAAATACAATAGTGACTCTTCCTATTTGTGTGTCTGTTCTGTGGAGGGTTGATTCTGTTGATCTCGGTGAAACCATAAAAGCCAGCTTTTGTGGCTTCCTCATAAGAGGGCAAATACACTTGTGAGACTGCCATGGTGGAAAGCACTCCATCCCAATCCTGACCTGCAACCACAGGACAGAGTGCTTACTCTTGTTTTATTTCCTTCCTGATGATTTCACTACCTGACCCTGCAGTGTGCACCCATTTTCTTCATTGCTTGCCTTTCCTATTGGGTACTTGGTACCTTTGTACCATCTGTATACTCACACTTAGAACAGTGTCTGGAGCGGAACACTCAAGCAAGCAGTACTATTTGTTGAAGAATGGACTTCACATATTATCCAGGGAGCAGACACAATTTTTATCCTCATCTAGTGAGCTTCTTACATCTAAATAAGTGGCCTGTAGTCACACCTATAGCTCAGATTTTAACCCAGCTTTACTTCATGGCTTTGGTTTCCACCACTGTCTGGTTTTGTTCTCTGTTCTAGAACCCAGGTTCTTACATGGAGAACACTTGTATGTTAACACTAGGAAGCTGCTTCCTATTAATTAACAGCATCTTTGTTTTCAGCCTGCTTTTACTGTGCCTTTTTTGTTCTCCAGATCTTACATAAGACCAGCAGTAATGCTAACCGAAAACTTCAAGGTAAAATCTGACATTCACAGATTTTGAATTAGAAAGCAACTTTAAATGCATTATCTTATCCAATTAATAGCCACATGCAACAGTAAATGAAATCATAACATGATTGCTGCTTTATGTTCAGGGCAGAGGAAATTGGGGTTCTGGGATGATAACTGCACTTAACCAGATCAGAGGATGGGCATGTCACCAGGCAGGGTCCAGAGCATGACTCACCTTTTCTTTCTTTCTTTCTTTCTTTCTTTCTTTCTTTCTTTCTTTCTTTCTTTCTTCCTTCCTTCCTTCCTTCCTTCCTTCCTTTCTTTCTTTTGTTCTTTCTTTCTTTCTTTCTTTCTTTCTTTCTTTCCTCCCTCCCTCCCTCCCTTCCTCTCTGTGTCCTTCTCTTTTTCTCACCCTTCTGTTCTTCCTCTTTGCTCCTTTGCATGTTCTTTGTGTTTCAAAGGCTCTGCAGATTAAGCCTGTCTCTTCTAAGACTGATCCCTCAAAGCACAGTAGAATGTGCAGCACCAAGCACTAAGTAGGGTAGGCAGTGAGGAATGCACCCGTGCCCAGCCTCATGGCAGCCCCATATGAAACTGCCCGAAGACCTTTGAATATGGAATCATACCCTGGGGATATACTTATACCCTTCTAGAAGTCCTGGGCAGAGTTGGAATTTGTCTTGACAGCTTAATAGTTATTTATTCCTGGACCTATACCACTCAGTTCCTACACCTTTGGAAAGTGTTAATAATACTCAAATGAGCTCAACATATCGGTTCTGTGCTTCAAGCTTAGAGTGGAGAACATTGAGATAAGGAATGCATGGTTTCTGCCTCTGATAAGTTCATTGTCCTGGTTAAGCTAGCACAGCCAACAGCAAAAACAAAATATTTAATATAGTAGACAAGACACTATAGAAACACAGAGAAAAGATGATCAGCTTAGATTGAAGAGAGGCTGTATGAAGAGCTTATCATGAAACTCAAGATAGACATGAGCAGGACTTTAGCAAAAGATGGGTCTTT